GAAGCTTTCATACTTTGCTATGGAACTTCATTTCTCTAAATCATCCATTTCTTTTTACCCACTAAGATTTTAGAGCATGGAATGTGTAGAAAGATGTTTCCATTGCAACAAAATCACTGCAGTCTTTTTTTAGGGATTCAAAAATTGTTTAGAATTTTAGTGAAGTATCTTGCAGTGGAAAATGTGGTCCCTAACTAGATAATAAATTCTGTGTTTCAGCTGTCCTTATCCTAACGCAGGGTATTTGCTATACCACGTTTTTGTTTGCACAGCAATCGTCAGATAAACCTTATCCTAACTCAGGATATTTGCTATTCCATGTTTTCATTTGCACAGTAATAATCAGAGGACACATGCAAATAAGCCAGCTGTTTCTGAGGAAAAAATAACTGACCTTGATACTAATCATCCCAGTGTAACAGAATATCTGAGTCAGCTGCATGGTTAAGTGAGGTATCATGGGCACTGCTGGAGGTTAGAAGTCTTCAGGACAAACACACTGGGCTGAACATCAGAGAGAGATACACAAGGGCAGCAGGTGGCAAAAATGTCCTTTCAGAAGGACAGAGGGGATTCTATAGACTAAAATGGACTAATTTGCCCATTTGAGTAAATTCTTATATGACTGGGTAAAAAGCTTTGCCAACTTCAGATAAGTCAAAGCTACAAATTGAAGAAATAAAATAATGTAGCAGTGTTAGTGTTGAAGGGGTATGCATTCACAGTAGGCTTTCTGTTCTGCACAAAGATCCACATATACTCAGCTTTACATATCCATCTTGCACTGTTTATTTCCTACTGTTATGGGACAAAATGTAACTGTGTTTCTCTGTGTTTCTCTACTGGGTTTTTTGTTGTTGTTACTATTTTATTTAGATTTTGCTGTGTTTGCGAGGGGGGGGGAGGTTTGGTTGTAGAATTTGTTTGTTTGCTCATTTTGGGGCTCCAAGTGGGTTGTTTGTTTTTAATTGTGAACAAACTTGCAGATTTCATATGGCTTGTGAAGCCTTCTTAAAGCCTCCTCATATTTTTGCCTCTACCCAACATGATGCACCACTAAAGGCTGCAAAAATCTGTGTTTGCATGTGTAAAGTAGGTTACTCCCCGTTGTGAGAGCATTAAAGTGCCGTGTTGTGGACGCAAATGCAGAGCAATGGTGGTCACAGATAGTGAGGAGTAGCTGACAATGATACAAACTGGACTGATGTGGCGGTACTTTAAAATGCTTAACCAGATCACACTTAACCAGATATGCTTTACCATGCTTAACTAGGTCAAAGTTAATCTCCTATAGGGTAGCTTAACAAAAGACTTAAGGTTGCAGATTTTTCCTTCTTCCTCTATTCTGAACGAACACTGAGATAAGTTAAGGATACTCAAGTACCCTGGGCTTTTCCAGGAAATGTTGGAGCATGGGGTATAAGCAAAAAAGATAAAAAGGAGAACTTCAGAGCACACAAAGTTGGCTAATGCTGGTACAACATGTGAAAACAACACAGGGCCCCAAGCAAGAGAATACAGATCAGTTGAGTCATCAGTAAAGCAAGATTTCAATCATTCTTTTTATTAAATAAATGTAATTGTGATTAAAAAGAACCTAAATTTTAGGAATTTCTCTAAAGGAAAACAGGTAAAACAGTTAGAACAAATGAAAGTGCTTTATATGTTAACTCGTCTCCTCCCTGTACTTAACATCACTGCTCAAAACAAATTCTGAAAAGAAACACTAAAATGAATCCTGATGAACTGGTAATAAATTAAATGTGCTAGTAGATACTTATTGTAACTTACTCATGAAACTGCCTTGTTTGTTCCCCTTTTGGTAACAGACAGAAAACTTTACAATATGCAGTTCAAGTCTTAAACATTTTCGTCCTTGTGAACTGAAAATGCAGTCTTGCTGTGTTAAATAGATGTTAGGTCATGGTAGCAAATAAATGCCTCCAGAATAGCTGTTCCACAGAAGATATTCTGAAGGTAGCTGCTTGGTTGTATAAAACATTGATGGAAGAAATTCATTTGCCTTTCGCAAATTCCAGTACTAAAAAACCTGCAATCTTCTATAATTCAGTTAAAAGTCCTGATATGGAACTAACAAGTGTTGTGCCAGGCACTTGATATCTTAATTTCCTGATGCAGAATTGTCTCTGCCAGAATCACAGTAGGGGGCTGGTGAGGCTCACTAAAACACAGGTACCATCTCCAGAGTGGCCATCGTAGTGCTGAAGGAATGTAATAGACTTCTACTGTCTCCAGAGTAGCTGGAACCTGTACTATACATTCACTGTGGCTGGTTTTAATGTCTCTTAAATTAGTATAAATGTTTCCAATTAAATGAGCTCGTGTAAGTTTACACCATGAGGAGAAAAAACCTCTTGGATGGAAAAGAAATTAAGTAACTGAAGTCTTCCTTCCTTCCTCAAAATAAGTACACTCCAGAGACAGTTCATTCAATAGCAAGATAAGACAAAGTTTTCTGTGGGAGCAACTGTGTCCAAAATACAGCCAAACCTACTATTCCACAAAGACATATTCCTAAACAGTGGGGGTCAGGTAGTAAAGGTTTGCCTGTAAGAGTAATGGGCCAGGAGAAGCATGTAAACATGTATGTTACACACCACTCAAATATGAAGGGTAGGGTGAATGACACAGAGACTGGAAGCAGGGCAGCAAGTTTGTTGGGATTGTCACCTGGAGGACACATGGTGCATTCAGAGCCAATTGCTGGCCTGAAAGATCTCACCTGTCTTGAGGACACTCAGGGCCCAGCTGACAGCACTCACCAGAACCTTGCCACCTCCTCCTGCACAGCTGCATCTCCTCATCACCTTCCTCAGGTGAACCCAGCTCAGCCACAGGTGAAGGCTGGGGAGTGAGAAGCAGCTGCCAGAGGGAGGCTCCAGCAGAGACAGGTCAGGGGAAGCAGTGGCAGCCAGGGAGGCTTTGCTGAAACGCAACACAGCAGCAGTTGCTTGAGTTTGCGTAAGTGAAAAGGCTGATGGGGAAAATACCAGGTCCCACAAAGTTAAAGAAGTAGCTCTTGAAAGAGAAGGGCATACCACGTTCTCCTGTGAGTAGCTGGGTGGTCAGTGGCCAGCTCTGCTCTGGGATGAATGCTGTACTGTTGGAGGGAAGGGCAGTTTGGGGAGCGGGGGGATCCTCCACTGCAGGACAGTGGGTTTCTGCTTTGTAGAGAGGCAGAGCATACCCACTTCTTTACCATATTGATAGCAGCCAGCAGTATGTGTGCATTACCACACCATCAGTTCAGATGCATGGTCTCCTCCAGAGGATTCTGATTTCCAATGGTGGATCTTCTTTCCCTCCTATTCCATGTAAGCCTTTACTTCTACGTCCTGGTGTATGCCAGTGCTTCTGCTATCCTTCAGCTGTCGGAACTGTGCAGTTTCTGGGACCACCAGGTAGGTCAGCAGTCAGGCACAGGGCAGTGACCAAATCAGACACCAGGATGGAGGTGGGAAGCAGACACTGCTAAGTGGAGACTGAAACCTCTGGGCACACCCCCCAGGTCTGGCAGCACTGGCAGCGGGGAGGGGAGCAGTTAGGGCTGGGCAGCAGGCACACACTGAGGGGAGCTGGCCATCCTGGTGGCTCAGCTGAGCAGAGCTGGCTGCCTGGCAGGGATGAACATGCTGCTGAGCACAGCCCAGTGTGGGCTCTGGACTGGGAGCAGTCACACAGCCCAGCACTGCTGGCCCCTCTGACTGGGGCGGCCCTTGGCTCCTGTGCTACCATGCTGCCCAGTGTGCTGTAAGCCATCCCCTCCATCCAACCCTCCCTCAGCAGCCCCAGCCCATTGTGCCTGGTGATAAAGGAACTTACCTTATTGTTTTTCAAGATCCTGGAGACTTCAAGGCAAAGGTGAATTTGACAGTTTTTGTCTTTATTACCAGAATTCAACTGCCTTACTAAGTACCTGAGAGTGCCAAGAGTATGGAGCTAGGCTCTGCTTAGTGGTGCCAAGCAATACAAGGGGTAACAGGCAGAAACTGATGCACAGAAAGTTCCACCTGAATATGAGGAATAACTTCTTTACTGTGCAGGTGACTTTGCACTGGAAGAGACTGCCCAGAGAGGTTGTGGACTCTCCCTCACTGGAGATACTCAAGAACCATCTGGACACAATCCTGTGCCATGTGCTCTGGGATGACCCTGCTTGAGCAGGGAGGTTGGAATAGATGACTCCACTGGTGGTCCTTCCAACCTAACCCATTCTGTGACATTTTGAACTGTGACGAAAGCAATACAGATGTGACCTTCACAATACAGGTCATAAGCAATTTTGAACAGGCACGTGCTTTAAAAACTTGTAAACTATTGTGCTGCCAAGTGGATTAAAAAATAAATCCTAAATCTTGCAAGCTTCTCAGCTCACTTAGAAGAGTAAATGTTCCAAATTCTGGGTAGTTCTTCAGGTGACAATGAATAAACAGCTTAAGAGGTTGGTCCATCTGGCTTTGCAGATGCCGTCACATGAAGTTCCAGTCCATGTGTTTAGTTGTGAACTTACAAAGTGGCAATATTCATGCTTTTCACACTGAACTTCAATCTTCATCAGCCAAAGGAAGGAAGGGGAAACGGCTGCCTCCAGTGATGTAGCGGTGATAGGGGAAGAACAAGAGCACACGAGTGTGCGTGTGCAAATGTACCTTTGTACAAAAAGAAAACTTGCTTATCATCAGCATGTCTGTGCAGCCTAACTGAGTGCAATACAGAGGTATGAGAACTCACACAGGTAATAAACTCAGGGGAAAAAAAAAATTAGATGCTAATTTACCAGGCATAATTAAGGTCCTGCAAAACTGACCATATTGCTTCCACTTAGCATTTCCAGCACAGATCTGCAGGGTGACATTTGCTCTCCCCACCTTTTTCATGGGAAATGTGTACAAGCAACTATGCAGGAAAAAACTAACTTCAGATCACTTATACTGATCCAGAGGAGCAGAAGTAAAAAAAAACACCTGCAGCCTAATAAGTGTATTCTTGAGAAGCAGTTAGTTTAATCACAAACACTTTCTTCTCTTAATCAGATGGAGTTATCTCTCCTACAAAAATCTCGCATTTTATCCATATTTCTTGTATTGCATCAGAGAAAAACAAGGACTACAAATTTAAAACAGTATTGTAGTTATATATGAAAGGCCACTGTTCTTCTAGCAAGGGTTCTCCCTTACAGTTTAGAGTTAAGCTGTGCAAGCAACTTCTCAAGCTTCAGTGCTAGTGCCATATTTCCTTTAATCCTTAATTTTCCTGACATGAAGGCCATAGTTGGCTTTAGTTTACCTAAAAAGAAGAAACAGAACCATCAGAAAATGAAAGAAATGGGAGACAGCCTGTGCACAGGAAAATAAAATGCCACAACAGCGAGACCCAGCAGTTATACTGCTATCAATTCCTCCTGTAAAAGCAGCGCACATTTAGGAAACACTGCTTAGAGATGTGCAGAAGTACAGCACATTGACACGACTGAAGCTACGCTGGCTGCTAAAATGTCAATACCTGGTTAATAAAAGCAGCGTAAGCTTTTGTTCTCTTCCTGTTCACAGAACACAGGAGTCCAGAAAAATTCAAGCCCTTCTGGCCTATACTTTCTCCTCAGCCACAAAAAGCCAAAAGCTCCTCCATCCCAGATCAGGAAGCGAGGAGCCAGTCTCCTCCCCCATCAGCAGGAGGTTTTCTGGGCACTGGTACCTGTGTGTGACAAAGGCCTTTGTCCCTCACCTGTGAACATTTTCACAAAGTCAGCACTCGACATGCTCATCACCACATCGGCTGTCCCAGGAGGCTTCCCGAAACCAGTGCTCCCACCCTTGTTCTTCAGGTCAATATACCACGTGCCTCCACCCTCACCTGGACAGAGAATGCAGAGAGGTGAGGAGGCAGCAAAGGTGCTCTGCCCTCCCTCCCATCTGCAGGCAGCCAAAGCCTGGCAGGCGAGCCCACCCCACGTGCCCATGTGGGGACACGGGCAGGAGAGCCCGAAGGCCGCCTGCCCTTCCCTCCCAGAGTTGGAGGCACAGGGTGTTTCAAGGAGACCCTGGGAGCACCCCTGTCTGTCCTCACACCAACCCTGTGAGGGAGGGCAGCGCCAAGTGACAAAGGCTCCGTGTCCAGTGGGAGTGGCAGCAGCTCCCTGTGCCAACTGGAGGGCCTGAGAAGGAGCATCACAGCAGCAGAACGGGAGAGGAGCTGGTCCGTGTCAAGGGATCAGCTTGAAAAGGTGAGTGCTTCTCTTTGAAATCACTGAGTGCCTTTTGCTAGGGAAGGTTTCACATGTGATGGTCTTACCAGACAATTCAAACTGAAAGACACCCTGAGTACTTCTCACATTCTCTTCAGTCATGGCCCCCTGAATAACTCTGAATGTTTCTGCAACAGGCCCGGATGGCTTGGCTGGAGCAGATTCTGTTTTCTCCTCTTTCAATGCTTGGGCAGCACCTACAAGAAAGATTATTTTTCTCTTTCAAATGAAAACCACTTTAAAAATGAAGGGAGAAACATGCACCAAGAGCTCCATTTGAAAAGATTTAAGCTTCAGTGTGGGGTAAATGATTATTTTCCCATTTTAGTATTTACACCCATAAAGGATGCTTTCTGCACCGAGGATCTGAATAGGTGTACAGCATTAAAGGTATTTCTGCAATATATTTCGTTTCCTAATATGTCAAAAGAAAAGTGGAAAAAAAAACAAAGGAAGATTCTTACTGTTCACTACAAATGCCTACACAGCAGTTTTTTAATGTAATCTATATACTCCTGACAATGCTAAAAAAAAATAAATCAGGGTCTTTAATAGCCATCACTTTAATCTCAAAATACTTCTGTCTTGTCTATCTTGTAAAGAACATGCATATTTTCACGAATTCTTCTGCAAAGGCTTCTAAGCTTCAATTTGCTGCTTTGATCAGCATTCTACTGTATGACAGTGAACATGCACATTTAACAGTGAAGGACAGCATTTGCAATTTACAAAGTCGGTCAAGTTGAACAGCCTCTAAAAATGTTGTTGAAAGTCTCCTAGGTGTCTTCAACACCAAAAAACAGTTAGGTCTGTTCTATGAGTCCTGGTATTGTGAGGCCCAGGGAACTAACACCATTCACCTCTGGCAGAACAGTCCTCCTAGTTCAACAGCCCAAACAGTATTCCCAACAGAAGGGAACTGTTCAAACTTTCCCTTCTCTGCCCTTCTCCTATCCCTATTTCAACACTCCTATGACGCCTGTTCAGCATTCTTAGTTGCCCGCTCACTTGACACACTACAGTTCTGAAAAACCAAACCCAATGCTTTTCTAAAGAAGACTTCTGCATTTCATCTAAGAGTTATTTTAATTCTGGAGCCCCTGGTGGTCTAGTGGTAAGGGCGCGGCGCTATCACCGCGGAGACCCAGGTTCGATTCCCGGTCAGGGCCACTCCCGGGCCAATGGAGCTCGTTAGCCCTTAAAGGCAACCCATCTACGTCCTAAGGACCTCACTGCCACCGTCCAAGCTCGCTTGGCCCCGGCAGATGAACCTTAGGATTAAAGGGTGGGCTCAGTTCCGCGCACACTGTGTCTCACCTAAAAAATCCAATGCGCAGGCTGGAAGGTGTAAAGACCTTCCCCAGATCTTCACTCGTGAAGACTGGCCATTATTTTTTTTATTTTAATTCTGTAAATTGTGCATGTTTCATCTAAGAAGCCATGGAGGATTTATGTCGTGTTCTTTTGTATAAATTTAACAAGACAAAGGAGATATTCCTGCAAAATGTGCTGTTTGCTATTTAATTTCCAGTGATATTTACCTGCGACCTTCTTACTACCACATTCAAGTGTTTAAAAAAGGATTCTTCAAAATGATGCATTGACTTTATGCCACAAAAGTCCTGCAGGAGGTAAGATTTTTTTTCTCTAGTTTTTAGTACAGAGTCACTTCCATAAATCTTACACTCCAAATGAGAAAAGCGTTTTTTGCTAAATACCTTGAGTGGAGTCCAAACTCTTGGGAGAAAAAAGAAAAACAACTTGAAATAGAGAGGGCACTCATTATTGTCAGAAATTATGGACACATAGTGCTTTCCTTACCATATCCTTTTTGTTTCATAGCTGTAGTGTCAATTTCAGCATCCAAGAAGAAGTCAGGTATCAGAGGGTGACCTAAGAGGAAGGAAAAATTTAATAATAAATCCAAGTAAAGTTGGACAGCACGAATCCATTTCATATGAAATTAGAGCCAAGTCTGTAACTAAATAAACTACAACTTGAAGGAAAAAAACATAGCACAAAATAACATGTTTAGAGTTTTGTTCCTTTAAAATCTGATATAGAGGGCTTTTAAAGTTGCCCTGAAGAACATTTGAAAAAGGAAAAAAATAAAAATCTATCTCACTAGCTGTTTAAAACTAATACATACATTTACAACGCAAGTAGATTTTCTTTTCATTAAAGAATTTCTTAATTTAATTTAACAGGCATTTGATTATTACACTCCCAGTGGACACGTATGTGCTTTCCAGGAACACACGTCCTCAAAGCTGAGGCAACTTTTTTACAGACTAATGCATGAGCCCCTAGAAACAAAACTATATTAATATTCTCCATATGTCCTTCCCTCCTTCCTGAACTTACTTCTCATCTTAAAGGTCTCTTTTACCTGGTGCAATTGCATAGACATCAAAATCCTTAACTCCTTCTTCTCGCAGCAAAACTTCATCAATAATGAAATTTCCAGTGAAGCTTTTTGGTTTTGTTAAAATGCAGTATGCAGCATCTGCCAGGATATCTGTTTTCCTACATTGTTTTTCTATTCCAGCTCCTCCCAGCATATCCATAGCAGCTGTATGTATGGCTAGAAAGTTTGAAGGGTAAGAAAACAAAGCTTAAACATCGATGACATGGAAGTCCCATTTCTCTTGCAAATATACAAACTTAATTTTTTTTTCATGCAAAAGGAAACTGTAGGAAGACAAAAGCCGTGAAATACTCCCAACCAACAAATAACTCTTTACAAGCAACAATGAAAACCAGGAAATTACTAAACGAATCAAAAAGGGCAGAATGTTTTATGATATTCACATCCCCCTATCTATTTATCAGTGGTCATCCCACCCTGCCCCCCTGGATTTCAAGGGTCATTCAGGTCATGAAAAACTAACAGGACCACTATTTTCCTCAAAGTGAATGTATGATATCTCAATCATTAAGAGGTATTCCCTATGATGATTATTATACTGAAAATCTCGATAATTTATTTTAGCCTTTTGATACTCCCATGAGAAAGACATTAAGCTATTGGAGAGCGTCCAAAGCAGGGTAACGAGGATGGGGAAGGGCCTTGAGGGGAAGCCGTATGAGGAGGGGCTGAGGGCACTTGGTCTGTTCAGCCTGGAGGAGATTGAAGGGAGACCTCATTGCAGTTACAATTTCCCTATGAGGGGAAGAGGAGGGGCAGACACTGATCTCAGTGGTGACCAGTGACAGGACCCAAGGGAATGTCAGGAGAGGTTTAGGTTGGGTATTAGAAAACACTTTGCCACCCAGAGTGGAACAGGCTCCTCAGGGGAGTGGTCACAGCACCAAGTATGACAGAGTTCAAGATTTGCTTGGACACCTGGTGTGATTCTTGGGGATGGTCCTATGCATGGTTAAGAGTTGGACTTGATGATGCTTGTGAGTCCCTTCCACTTCAGTAGATTCTGTGATTTTGTGATGCAAAAGTGTTTCTCCTAAGTTAATGAGAAACCAAAATTTCACAGAAAGGCTGTGTTAGACCCAAGAATAAAATTCACATCTCCTAAACTTCTGGTTCTTATCTTAACGAATTCCACTACTTCTGTGGCATTCCATTAGTTTTGTTTATGCCTCCCCCATGGGAGCTACTAACATTGTGGCATGTTGCAGTCTAAGTCTGTGATTTGCTCTTCCAGGCTGAGGTATCCATTCCATTTTTCTTTCATCCTATTCCACAGAAAGGCTATCTGGTTGTAGCGTTTGACATTTGCCATGTTACTTTTTTTCCCCTCATACAGTTCTGCTTTTTCCCATCTGCTTTTTAAGACTCAACACTCTACCCCCAAGTTTTGGGACAGACTTGCAAATCCTTTCCTTCATCTAGGACAGAAGAGCATGGAGGCGGAACAATAAACCCAATTTTACATCACTTTTCTCCTCCTTTCAGTGCTTCCATTCCAAACAAAGTAACAGCAATTTGGATGCAGAAATGATCCCAAAGTTTCTTAAAGAGCAAAAAATAGGCACTGTGCAGGACATATCCATCTGAGCTTCACCTACCAAAGTAGGAACTGGGAAAACAGACAAGTCTTCAGTGCTGGCCAGAGAACTCCTGTCCAAGTGTTTTCTAGGAAAGTGTAGATGTTCTCGTTGACACCCTTATTTTACTCTTCTGTGGTCAGGATTAGTTCCTAGGTTTCATCTACCTTTAACCAACCTCAGCTTCCCTTTTTTTCAAATCAAGTGAACTGCTATCAATACACATTTAAATAAAAAGTGACAAATAGATATGCTGTACATACATGTAGGTACCCCTAAGTCTTCTTCTCATCTTTAAGGATAGAAAATAAATTTGTCTTTCTTTTGTCCTCTGAAATGCTCTCTGCCCTGGAAAACTTTTTTTTTTTTTTTTAAACAACTACCAACAGTTCAGAGGATATTTCTGTAAAATACTATGATGAATTGTACCAGCCTCTGTTGACCCAAATCTATTCCATTATTCTGAGGATTCATTAAGCCACTCACTTTCTTGGCCCACATTTCTCTGTTAGTGTCAACTATTTTTCTTCAGAGCACAGTCAGCCTATTTGCATAGACTGAAGACAAAAGGTCTCAAACAGCAGTCTAACTGCACATTGTTATATTCATTTCATATAAAGTGATGCTGGTTTTCCTCTAATGCACATAAAGAGACTTTCAGTTTTATCCCAGGACACCTCTATTATTCCTGTGCTCTCTTTGTGATGGGACTGCCCTTTTGACAGGCATCCTCTTTCATTTTTGGAAGAAAGGAGAGCTCCTGGCCTCTTATTATCAGCATACTGTCACATGTAAATGAACAGATCCAGGCATCCATACTAACACTGAGGCTAAACACATTTGTATGGAATTATAGTGGACTTTTAAACTAAATACTTTGCAACTGTATTTTAGACCTGGTGAAAGTCTTTAACACTATCTCTCTGGATGACCACAAGAAAGTAGTTAACTTTCTTACTTTTGGAAGACAAATCTCTTGAAAGAGCATTTTTAGTACTAGAGAACTCACTCATTATCCTCCTTTATACTTCAGGACACATCAGTTTTCCTGGAGGCATCACTGATTTATACAAACTCTGAGAGCTCAGCTAATGTTTCTAACAATATTAAGATGAATGAGTAAGATTCATCAAATAAAAAGCTCATTTGCATACCTTGAATTCTACAGAAAGCCTAATTACTTTTTTAATTACTTTGCAGCATCTCCCAGAGAGAAATCCTCATTTAGAAAAGCATTTACTAGAAAATATTTTCATCTGTAAATTGAATCTTCCTGCACTTCCAAGCCTTATGTTCTGCAGGATGCTGTGGGGAACAGGTATTAGCTGTGCTCTTTAACAAGTGGCATTTCCTGCAGTGTTCTCCTCTAACTTATTTTAGCAGGTACAGCTGTGTTACCAAGGACACAGTGGCACTGCCACGCACAAGAGAAAGATAAATACGGCTTTCTTTGGTTTGGTTTTTCTACTTCCCCCCCGCTAAGAATGTCAGATTTCACAGAAGTTTATAATTAATACCACCTAGACATCCTTTAAGAACAGACCACAACTGGTCACAGTATACGCAAACGTGAGAAAGAAATAATGTATTCAAAGATGCAACATAAGACTTAATGTAACTTCTGCTTATGAAGTTAGCCATCCCTCTTAAAAAAATTCCTTTGTGAGCAGGTGGAGAAATTCTGACAGGTCCTTTGTTCCCTCGCCATGAAAAACAGGAGGCCAAATTATTCGGATGGGTGGGGGAAAACAGCTACACTGCAAAATAAAGACCTAGTATAACCAGCTGGTCTCTGCAGAAAAAAATTCTTTAGCTTTCAGAGGTATGTTGGGACCCATAAAGGCACCAACTCATTTCCACAGTATTAGTGGATGTTTGTTCCAGCTTATCCAGAATCAGAAAAAAGGTGCTGGAAAATCAGAAAGCTGTGGAGGAGGCACATAATGTGCCTATGCAGAACGTAAATATGTGCACTTAAAAGACACCCGTAATCTTGTAACACCTTTTGCACGATAAAGTAAGTCAAATTGGTAGTGTTGTCTACAGCTTCAAACCATGTCTCTCTGTCTGAACAACATATATCTGGATTAATTCCTTTACTGTCCCTAACTCTCACAGACAACATACACTGATTGATCAGCCACACAATGGTAGGTAAAAGGTCACCTCTGTTAATGAAAAAACAAATTACTCCCCGACACAGGATTCTTAGGGGATATAAAATGCGTTTAGCAGTGGCATTTTAGAGACAGGATAGGGGGATGGGCATGAGGTCTAGGGAGCTAAAGACTTCAAGAATCAAGTTTCATGCTCTGCTCCAGATCACACAGATCCTCAGAAATCTCCATTGAAATTTCTCTGAGGTTTTCCTGGAGCACTCAAGAACCAAGTATGTGGAAACAAGTTCGTATTTCTTATAACTGCCTCAGAAATAAAAAAATACAACACAAATCTGAAACCTGAAAAGTGAGCTTTGACTCCACTGGAAGGCAATCCAGACCCTGAAGTTATACATGTATTTGCCTTCAGTACCTTGAAGAGGAAGACCTTATCCTCTTCAAAACGGTACAGGTTTTGTGATGATATAATTATCATGAACAATATAATTATAATTCAAAAAGTCAATCCCTTACCAAAATATTTCTATGGGTAAAACTCATAGAGTGAGCAGAATTATGAGGCATCCATTTACTGGGAGAGTTTAAGATGCAAGCATCCAGACCAGTGAAAAATGACCAAGTCTGTCAGACACGTTAACCCAAATGTCCAATTGATTATCACCTATTTTAGCTAAGAAACTCAGCTGATATTGTCTGAAATAGTCAAGTTTTGCTCATATTTCTCACTTTAGAGAAAGCATATCAGAGTTCACACTGCAAATCAAAAAGGGCCTGAAACTCCTAACAGGAAAACATTTAAAAGTGTTTGTGTACAAACACTTCTTACACTGGAGCAACATCCTCAAAAGGGGATCTTGGTTCATATTTTGTACTCCTCTTGCTTCTTCCCTCCCTGCACTAGTTAAGGAAATAGACACTGCTCTTGTAATGTTTCCTAACACAATGATGGGGCTTACACCACTAAAGGGCAGGATTACCCTCTGTCTGGTATTGATTTTAACATCAGTATCATTTCTGCCCATAGACGTACTTGGGGTGAAGAGATTGGCCTCCTTGGCAAACAGCTGGCCAAATCTTGAACAGCAGCCCTGACTCCCACAGACCCATAGAAAATAAACTGATGTTAATACAGTGTGGGAGCATTGAGTTGCTTTTCTTCCACAGAGCTCTTTAACTTCCTGTAACTTGCAATCACATAATTCTGTGAACAACTTTTCACAGAAATGCACTGTGCCAAAATTTCTAGGAATGGGGTTTTTTAAACGATTTCTGCATTCCCAGAGGCATCTATCTTGTCAGTTCCATGTGAACTCTGGCAATTTAACTAGCAAGGAATTCTAAACAGTACTGCATACACAGATGTTCAATACCTGCTAATGAAAGCGCCCTAAGACTTTTGTGATTCTGTCCAAACCAAAACTCTGGGTGCATGAGAAAAAGTACAGACAAGCCAAATCTACACACATGCTTCAACCAACTGAAGGAGTTGAATGGGTTGCAAAGTAGCTGAAGATGAGTTTAGATCAAAGTGGCAATGGTCTAGTGAGAACTGGGAATGAAGACTGGCACCCATTCAGGATGAAAAAAAATTACACAAAAGAACTGCTCATTCTCTTGGATCAATTCCAGAAGTCCAAAGTATATTAAATGTCAAATAAAACAAGTTTCAACAGTAGAAATGCAGAAAGTCAGTATTTCAGTACCATAAAAAAAAAATCACCTGTTTTAGGCCATAAAGCGTTGACAGCAACTTCTCCTCTAAATTCTTCTGCCATTCCCAAGACACACATGGACATCCCGTATTTAGAAATGGTATAAGCTAAGACAAGAAGTGTAAAAAAGATAAAAGTTTACACTTTATCAATGTAATTTTAACTGTCAAGGAAAGGTAAAAAATGTAATAGGTTCATAAGGAAAAAGAAGGTTTTGGGGACAAAACAGTACCTTCCTAGAGTCAGAATCTCTCCCTTTTCTCCGCCACCCCTGTCAGATACAAACTGTAGACTGTCATCTTTTCATTACAATAAAATGAGAACTACATATATTCTGCCAAAAACAATGACTGAAGCCTAGCTGTACTGTGTTTTTGTCATGCTTTTCATACACAGAACACTGACAAGAGTGCTCGATTTTTTCATGAGGCCTAAGGCATACAAGCTGTTAATGACCAAACTATATCCTATAAAAAACAAAAAAGGCAGGGAGCAGGAATTCTTAATCATTGTCATCTATCTACTTGGAGAAGTGAAACTTTCTCTGGGAAAGAGCTGGAACTTGCTGGAGTTTAGTACAATAAGTGTCCAAATGGGAAGTTTTTCTACAGTTTTAAAATGAGCAACACTAACCTCAAGATAACATGGAGTTAGTTCCTTTCCCACCTCAAAACTAATTTCCAGATTAAAAGACGACATTGAGTTTTAACCACAGTAAAACAAACATGAAGCTGCATCGGTAAGAAAACAGATTTTGGGTTTCAGTCTCTATTTGGAGCAGAAAATTTTCTGTAGTCTTAACAATTCCCATGAAAAAGCACGGACTCCTACCTTGAAAATATAAAGAATGTATCAGGCCATGAAACCTGTGCTACATTTTCCCACAAAACAATTTCCTCCAGTGCCAGTCTGTATACAGCGCTAAAGATACAAGATCTGGCACTCCTGCACATTTCACCAGGTACTTACATGGTTCTCAAAAAATAGCAACAAAGGCTCTGAATGCTACTCACCACAATGATTTTTGAACCACATGGGATTCAGATTCAGAGGTGGGCTAAGGTTCAGGATATGGGGGTTCTTACTCTTCCTCAAGTAGGGAAGGCATGCTTTAGATCTGAAAGATTGATTCAAAAATATCAGTCTCCTCTTATTTTATGGACCACCTATAATTACAGGAAAAACCAAACTAGAAGACCAGTACTTTCATGACAATAAACGACTAAGCTGAGACCCTCTTTTTGCATCAGTTATTTAACTGATATAAAGATTAACAAAAAATATCTTTCCCAGATCACTTATCTCATCTTTTGCACATCTATCTCATCTATTTACACATCTGTAAACCGTAACTTTTAGTTTAGAGAAGCTGGCATTTGACTTCATTTCTAGCACTAAGATACATGTTTGCATTTGATCTCTGCTGGAGAATTTTTAATCAAGCTTCGTAAGGCAAAAGCACTACCACAGTAGTGACCTTCTATTCACTTATTTCAACAGGACCCATGCATAGTGTCAGCCAGAGAGGGAACACCTTCAACAGCAAAATCACTACAGTAATAAAGCAATTAATTTAACACCTGCTTAAATGTCCTGAGGTCTCGACTCTTTCCAGTGGCAGCATGTGGAGCTCACTGACCGAAGTCTCAGTTTCTTGATGCACAGGAACCAAGAATATGACCAGGTTGCCATTACTGAAGCTTAGTGGGATGAATCCCATGACTGTAGTGCAGCTATTAATGGCTACAGGCTGTTCAGAGGGGTCAGGGAGGGAAGGAGAAATATAGGGGTTGCTGTTTGCACCAACAGATGGATTGAGTATGAAGAGCTCTGTCTGAAGAACCAGCTGTGAACACGTTGAAAGCCAGTGGGTAAGAATTAGAGACTGAGGGAACAAAGGGAACCTTGTGGCTGGAGTCACTACAGGCCCCTGATCAAGGGGAGCCTCTTGGTTAGGCCTTGTTGCTCCAGTTACAGGAGATATCATGCTTGCAGGCTCTTGTGCTGCTGGGGGACTTCAAACACCTCAATATTTGCTGGGAAAGTAGTACAGTCAGCTGTAAGCAATCCAGGAGACTCATGGAATGCATGGAGCATAATTTCCTGACCCAGGTAATAGGCCTACCAGAGGGAATGCCATACTGGATCTGATGGCCACGAATGCAAGAGATAACTGGAGATGCCAAGACAGAGGCAGCCTGGGCTGCAGCGATCACGCACTGGTGGAGTTCACAGTCCTGGGGGATATGAGTCAGGCAAAGAGTAAAGTCAGGCCCTGAATTTCAGAAGAGCAGAATTCCAGTTCTTCAAGGAGTCAATAGGACTCCCTGCAAAGTGGCCCACTGACAAAGGAGCAGAACAGATATGACAGATCTTTAGGGATGCCTTGCACAGAGGCAAGAGCTAGGGATCCCTAGGTGAAAGAAATCAGGCAAGGAAGGCCAGAGACCAGAATGCCTGAGTATGGAACTGCTGGTCAAACGAAAGGTCAAGAAGCAAATGCACAGGCAATGAAAGTATCCTAGGCAGAATATAGGGGCAATGAAAGTATCCTAGGAAGAGTATAGGGGCACAGGCCTGTTGTGTAGGGATGGGGAGAGGAAGGCCAAAATGAAGCCAGAGCTGAACTTTGCAAAGCATGCAAAGAACAATAAGAAGGAGTTCTACAGATATGTCAGTCAGAAAAGGCAGGTAAAACAAGCATGTACACCCACATACCATCCCCCACTCTGGGATAAGCAAGTCTGGAAAACTGTTAACAACTAACGAGGGGAAAGCTGAGGTACAAAAACAGCTTTTTGCCTCAGCCTTCAATGGCAACCTCTCCTCCCGCTCCTCCTGAAGTGGATGGACAGCAGGATGGGGACTGGGTAAGCAAAGTGCTTCCCGCTGTAAGTAAAGATCAGATTTGTGACCACCTGAGAAACCTGAACATACATAAGTCTGTGGAACCTGATAAGAGGCATCTCACTGTTCTGAGGGAACTGGCTGATGCAGTTGCCAAGCACTCTCCATATTTGAAAAATCATGGCACTCAGCCAGGTGAAATCCCACATGACTGGAAAAAGGGAAACACTGCACCTATCTTTAAAAATGGTGGAAAGGAGGACTGGGAACTGCTGACCTCTGTGCCTCGGATCCTCCTAAAAGCTATGCTAAGGCACATGGAGGACAGGGAGGTGATCTGGGACAGCCAGCACAGCTTCACCAAGGACAAGTCCTGCCTGATCTAGCGGCTTTCTGTGGTGGAGTGACTACATCAGTGGACAAGGGAAAGGCTAGAGATGTCATTTATCTGGACTTCTCTAAAGCTTTATACATGGTTCCTCATAACATTCTTCTCTCTAAATCAGAGAGAAAAGGATTTGATGGGTGGACTGTTCAGTGGATGAAGGATTGGTTGGGTGGTTGCACCTAGGGGTAAAGGTCAATGGCTCAGAGTCACGATGGACATCAGAGATGAGGGGTGTCCCTCGGGTTGGTACTGAGACCAGCGCTATTCCATGGCTTCATTAATGACAAAGCGCACCCTCAGCAAATTTGCTGACAACACCAAGCTTCAGGTGCAGTTACCACACCTGAAGGACACGATGCCATCCAGAGGGACCTAGTCAAGCTCTAGAAGTGGGCCCACGGGACTCTCATGAAGCTGAACAAGATCAAGTGCAAGGAGCTGCATCTTGGCTGGGGCAACCCTTGGTATCAGCACAGGCTGGTGGATGAACAAATTGAGAGCAGCCCTGCCAAGAAAGACCTCGGGGTGCTGGTGGATGAGAGCCTGGACATGACCCAGCAATGTGCTAGCTATGGTATGTTATATAAGGTCTCCAGAGATGAGAAGCTTATGAGGAGAAAACTGACAAATAAGATATTGCACCTGATGCATGCAAAGATTTAGTCATTTTGCTTGAAATGAAAGAGCACCAGCACTTTGCAAAGCCAAGCTGGAGCTCCATTTGAAACAAACTAGTTTCTTCTTCCTACATGCACGGAGATGCTTGAGAACATTTAATGACTACAGTAATAAGGTTCCTGTTTACTCCAAATTGCAGTTAATTCTTGGAAATATTAATTTCAAATAGCTGACCAATAACCCTGTGAGCACACGTAGAATAATTGCACTCCAACTCTAGGTCAGCAATACAGCTACACAATTTCTCCGAAAAACTGAGGTAACATCATACGTTTTGTTCCAATTACTTTGACTCCTTCTCTCAGCACTTACGTAAGGTAGGTTCCTCGTACATTGACCTCCATCATAAGATTGACCTTCTTTGCTGCTGTTTCCAAGGTGCCAGTCAAAGAGATGGCACTTGCATTGTTCACCAGAATGTCGATCCCTAGTTTAAAAATAAGTCATTTCACATTAGCATTTAAAGACAAAAAAATGGAGTAAAGCAGCTGTTCTTTTCTCTTTTCGCTCGAACAATCTGCCTGTTCACGTCTCCCCCGCGCTATTAACATACCTCCAAAAGTCTTCACAGCTTTCTCCACGGCACTAATAATTTGCTCTTCTTCCCTCACATTAACAACGCATGGCAAAGCCTTTCCTCCAGCCGCTTCAACTGCACAATTAAAAAATTAAACATATAAAAATTTACTCTCAGGTGGGGCAAAGAACATGAACCTTCTGAGAATCTCTCATGCAGTGACATGCTTCAAGAAGGCACTGAAAATCACACCCTCAAATTCTGACCTTTCTACGTGTTGTAGAAAGAACAGGGAAGCCAAAACCAAATCTTAACACTGTGAATGTGTATTTCAAACATCTCAAGTAACATAGCATTTTTACATTTATATACACACATATCTTCATTACAGTAACATTACAGCCTTCCTGGGAGGCCAGAGAAGCGCTGAGCTTATTTTAGTAAAGGTGAACTGGGAAATCTATGCATTTTTCCACTCAGGTATGAAAATTAAGCTTACACCCAGCCTAGCACCTGAACCCAACTTTCATTTGTTAAAACTCACTTTCTTCTGCAGCGGTGTAGATAGTCCCTGGAAGAGTAGGATGGGGCTCAGCTGTCTTGGCAGCTATCACAACGTTTGCACCATCCTTAGCAGCTTTCAAAGCAATGGCTTTGCCAATGCCTCGACTTGCACCTGTGATGAAGAGGGTACATCCTGCCAGTTTCCTGAAGGTGAAGGGGTAAGTGGAGGGTAGTAAGGAGAACAAAGAAAAAATTGTAAATCATCGACTTTTATCACTCTCTAAGCGAAAAAGTAATTAGCACAGTCTCCCAACCAGACAAATGCCCTCATCATTTTACTAAGAAAACAGCCTTCAAGTACAAAAGGGATGGCTACAGCTACAGCAAAGTACCACTGAAGTAAGATCATTCCCCAAGTCTGCAAACGCTATAAAGCAAGAAGGTTACACAGGTCACCCAGTTACATTTCTCCCTTTTTGTAAAATGATCCCACAGACTGTTTACAACAGAGCTGCTACGTTCTCCAACAGTGGAAAAGGAGTAATTTGTAACAACAATATGCTAGTGTCTAAGGAGACAACACACCTACACAGACCTCTGTAATTCACTAGTCACAGTTCTCTATACCCAAAGAACTGCTGTCTCAATGTAGCATAAAGTTTCAAGGCCAGAACCACAATGCCATATACAAAACCTTTATATTCAGAAATGGCAATTATTTCTCCTAAATCTTCTATACTCAACAGTTTTTCAGTAACTGCATTTAATCCAATGATTCCTCCAAATGAATTGCTTCAATCAAAATCTCTGGAGAAACTAACAAGTTTTAGAATACGAGAAAGACGTCTGGCTGACACAATGTCGCTGAAGAGAAATATCAACTCCACTTAAAAGCATATTCAACAATAAAGCTTCTTAGACCACAGGTTTTCCATATGAAGGAACGTGTGTTTCACCATTTGTGCATAAAGCTCATGTTGCCTTTTGTAACTCCGCAGCAGAAGCAAGAGTTTTTAACTTTAGTTAGAGAATGCATATAAACTGTGCAACAGCAACTTCACTTTTCACTCCCATCACAAACATTACACACCAGCCTCCAAGCCTGCATTAGTTTTCCTTTCAGACTGGGCCAGACTTCTGGCACAGTTTCTCCACATCTGTTTTCAGATGTGGGGTTTTTCCCCTCTAATCCAAGAACCTAATCCGCCTCCTAAATGCTCTCTAGCAGAGTGTTTGCTTTCAGAAGGCAGAGAACTGGAATGGGGCAGAAAGGGCAGAGTGATCTTCCCCTGCAAGGGTAGAGTTACGCATCTATTGCATCCCAGGAAGTCAACAAAGTCCTGCAGGTGCCACTTCAAAGAGCTTTCATCTGCAAAATTGAGTCCTACAAAGGCACATGAAGAAAAATACCCAAACAGCAGAGTGTCCAGAGTCAAGTCACATGTACAATGAGTGAAACTCAGTCAAGTAAGGCCAGAGTCTGGCTTCTGCCTTCAACCAACCAACCAGCAGAATCCTCCTTAGTCAGGGAAGAGGTAAATGGGGTCCAGCAAGAGGAACCTTTAGAGAAGAAGCTGAGGAAAGTTGATGGGCCTTTAAGCCCTGCAAAGGACAAGAGTGGTCCATTCAAAAAGACAAGCAGATGTACCAGAAGACCAGCATGGCTATGCAGGAAACGTGTAATTCAGCTCCCATGAACAAAGGTGTCATATAGGGAGCAGGAGTAAGGACAGGTCACAAAGCAGGAAACAGAAACATTACTGAGCATGTTGGGGTGGTGCCAGGAAAACCAAAGTTCATCTGCAGCAGAGATTTGTGAAACACACAGGCACTCCTCCTGCTACACTATTAGCAAAAGCATGCCCTTTGCTCAATGGGGCGGGTGAATGCAAGGTTTTCAACACCCTCTGTCACAATATTTTTGCTTCATATTTAAGATATGATGATATGATCTGGATGGGTGCACAACCTGACGTGAAAACACTGGCTGGTCTGGCTCAGAAGTGGTGGTTTGTTAAGCCATACTTGCAAGACTTTGGGTTTATTTCTTAGTTCACTTAGCAGTCCAATAGTTTACAAGTTTATAAAGCATGTGCCTGTCCAAAATTGTTTATGACCTATATTGTGAAGGTTGCATCTGTTTTGTTTCTACCACAGATGAATTCTGGAAATAAGACAGAAAATGTCGGGTCACATCAGGGACACTGTTTAGAGCTCACACAGACCCTAGAAATTTAATGAATAATCCTGTTTATAACATACAGGAACAAATAATAACAATTTATCTTCCTGGCTGTTAGCAGTTGGCCTCTGAAGGGCTAAAAGGCAGGAAAGATCCTATACTTCTGGAAGGTATACTACTACTTTCTTACTTACTGGAAAAAAATTCGACTGCCAGGTAAGCAGGTACTGGCTTGGCACAAGAGAGGAAAGAACAGTTTTATATGTCTAAAGTTACAGATACAGTGCCGAATCTACGTTAAAACCATCCAGTCGCTATTTCCATGCCGCTCAAGGGCACTGGTACGAAGCGCCCGCCCCGGGGCTCTGGCGCTGCCCGGGGACCCTCGGCCGGCACAGCCCCGGGGCCACCGGGACACGGCGTCCTGCGCTCCCACCGCCCGCTCCCGGCTGGCCCCCGCCGAGGGGCAGCCCACACAGCGCACGGGAGCGGCCCCCGAGCCCCCGCGGCGGCCCCAGCCCAGCCCGCTCCGAGGGGCCGAGCACTCGCGGCCGGACCGGACCGACCCCCGGCCCTGCCCTGCGCCGGGCGGGGCACCTTACCCGGTGTTGGGCAGCATGGCGGCGCCGCTCCCTCAGCCCGCGCAGCCGCCAAGCCGGGGCGGGGCGGCACGGCCGGCCCGGCGGGGCGGAGCGGGGGCAGCGAACCCCGCGCAGGAGGCGCCCGGCCGAGGCTGAGGGGGCAGCGGGGCGTTCTCTGCAGGGTGTGTGAAGCTGTGCTTTGGCCCGAACTCTCTTGCGAGTCCCACTCAAATCAGTGGAGGCTTTGCCTCCATCCCACTTTCTGGAGTGCTGTGTCCAATTCTGGGCTCCTCAGTACGAGAAAGACGAGCTACTGGAGAGGGCCCAGCGGACGGCAAAAAGATGGTGAGGGGTCTGGAGCATCTCTCTTGAGAGGCTGCGGGAGCTGGACCTGTTTAGTCTGGAGAAGACTCAGAGGGTATCTCATTAATGCATATGAATATCTCAAAGATGGGTGCCAAGGGGATGGTGTCTGACTCTTTTCAGTGATGCCCAGTGACAGGATGAGGAGTAATGGCCATAAACTAAAACACAAAAAGTTTCACCTCAACATGAGGAAGAACTTTGAGTGTGGCAGAGCCCAGAACAGGTTGCTCAGGGGGGTCCTGGAGTCCCCCTCTCTGGAGACATTCAAAACCCACCTGGATGCATTCCTGTGTCACCTACTCTAGGTGACTCTGCCTTTGGCATGGTGATTGGACTAGAAGAGTGGTCCTTCCAACCCTAATGATTCTGTGATTCCCTATTCATCAGAAAGCCTGCAGCAGGATTGTCTGTTATTGTTCATCCAGCCATGGCTGCCCTCTCCTTTACCTCCTCCCATAGTCCCTCTCTGATTTCCCAATTGCAAGCTTGGCCCTCACATCCGTGCCCTGCACCACCATGTGCACACACACACACACACCCCCACACACACCCCTCCTCCTCCTCCATCTGTTGCCAAACGAAGGCTCTGACCTCCTGACCTTGCTGTGCTGCCCACCTGTTGCTACAGTTGGCAAATCTTCCATCAGGTTCTACCTTTGGCTTGTATTTCCCCTTTCAGCTTTCATGCAGAAATCTTGTGCAGCATCCTGAGAGAGACTTGGGTTTCACTGTGAGCTGGTGGCAGAAAGGGAAATCACCTGGTGTGTCTGAACCTGCTGGAAGAATTGAGATGGATGGTTTTACTGACTTAAACAGTAATCAAAGGAAGCCATAAGCAGATGTACTTGTTCTTGTGTGTTGGCATAATTATGGCTGTTGGTTCACTTCTGCTGCCGACTCCTGCAGGAACGATGCATGACTAGGCTGATGGGGCCAAGGGTTGTCTAAACACTTTGCAGCTGAAACGTCTCTCATGCCACCTGCTTTCCCAAGGCTAGCATCCCACACAGATGGAACTGAAAGAGCTTTGCTAAGACGTTCTTTAGGCATGCTTCTCCTTCTTTCTTTCTGCAGCTACTCAGGCCATATGAGCAGGGCAGAGCTTGACTGCCACAGCTGCATGCCAGGATTGAAAGCCTCATGCCTGCAGTGTGCTCCACAGAAGCAAGCCATCATGCCTGTGTGTAGACAACTGCTGGTTTCAGCCATGCACAGAGGTACCTGCAGGAGAAGCTCCTTGGAATCATGTTCAACCTTCTTCCCCTCAAGTGGTTTTTTTTTTCCCTCTCCAATATATAATAGGGGAACTGGAGTGATGGGACTTTTTTCTATACTGGGAGAGTCAGTTTATGTCCCGGAAGGTTTTTTAGCATAAGAAGCAGAGAACATTTGAAAAGGCACTACAGAAGGTAGAATGCTCGTGCAGTGGCTTTCAGTAGTTTTCCCAGTGCCTGCGTGTTAGCCCCCCAAGTAGTGGGCAGCAGGGGAGCACAGGTTTACCCTGGGCTGAGCACTCCCGCATCTGTGCTTGTAGTCCAGTGCTCTCCATCTCTACAAAGCAGAAACCCACTGTCCTGCAGTGGAGGATCCCCCCGCTCCCCAAACTGCCCTTCCCTCCAACAGTACAGCATTCATCCCAGAGCAGAGCTGGCCACTGACCACCCAGCTACTCACAGGAGAACGTGGTATGCCCTTCTCTTTCAAGAGCTACTTCTTTAACTTTGTGGGACCTGGTATTTTCCCCATCAGCCTTTTCACTTACGCAAACTCAGGCAACTGCTGCTGTGTTGCGTTTCAGCAAAGCCTCCCTGGCTGCCACTGCTTCCCCTGACCTGTCTCTGCTGGAGCCTCCCTCTGGCAGCTGCTTCTCACTCCCCAGCCTTCACCTGTGGCTGAGCTGGGTTCACCTGAGGAAGGTGATGAGGAGATGCAGCTGTGCAGGAGGAGGTGGCAAGGTCCTGGTGAGTGCTGTCAGCTGGGCCCTGAGTGTCCTCAAGACAGGTGAGATCTTTCAGGCCAGCAATTGGCTCTGAACGCACCATGTGTCCTCCAGGTGACAATCCCAACAAACTTGCTGCCTCTCTTCCAGCCCCCTGTGCTTTTGAGTGGCATTTGACATTTTACCATCATTCAGGTCTTAAAGTGTTGCTTTTAATGAATATATCTCAAAATGAATATAGGAATAAGTAGAAACATGACATTTTTCAGTTGGAAAGGGAGGCAAAGTGAGGAAAAGCACATGTGCAAGATCACATAGTACACTAGGGGCATAGATCGCTGGTATTTCCACCCATGGTCTGCATGATATTGTTTCCTTCATTCATTAGCAAATGTGCACCCTAATGAATACGGCTGTTATTTCAACATACTAAAAAGAGAATTTTTAGCAGAAGAATCATTATATTTAAAATACTCCCCTTAAACTCACTACTATTTGATTGGAATATTAAATAACGTTTGGATATTTAACAACAAAAGTTAAGGACACTTATGGGTATACTGTTCTTAGAAGGAATTCACAAATTTGGCACAAAGTCTAAGAATTTATTAGAAATAAGTAAGGACTGTAGAGGAGAGTTGAAGTGAATTCTTCTAAGTGGTGTTTTTTTTTTTCATTTTTTAGTAACAAAATAATTACATAGTTAATTTAAATTATAATTAATTAAATTAGTAGCAATTCCCCAACTCATAACTATTTTTTTTGTTGGTCAGAACAATGTCTATATTACTATATACCAGCTAACGACATGGTTTCCTGTCTTCAAACATTTTTCTTTGCAGCTTTAAAAGGTTTCTAATTTTGATGATAGCGGTGAAGATAGATGTGGTAGGAAAAGAACTGTGTGTACAAGTTGATCAGTTCTGGTATTAATGAATGCCCTCTGGATTTCAAGTTGGTTGGTTTGTTTTTTCTCCCAAGAACTTGGACTCCACTCAAGCTACTTGACAAAAGCCCTTTTCTCATTTGGAGGGTGAGATTTATGGAAGTGGTTGCAGAGCCTCTGTATTCAAAGCTAGTGAAAAAATGTTACCTTCCACCGCACTTTGAAACCTTTGTGATTTATAATCAGTGCCTTATTTTGAAAAATCCTTTTTTTATGCTGAAGGTCACAGGTAAATATTGCTGAAAAAAGCAATAAAAACATTTTTTAAAGGCAATTAAAAAAATTTAAAGACCAATAAAAGTAAATATTGCTGGAAAAAGAAATCAAATGGAAAATAGTACATTTTGCAGGAGTGTCATATGATGTCTTGCTAAATTATATCAGAAACAGTCTAATGAAGAATGAAATTTCCATGGTTTACAGACCTAAATATTTCTTGATATTGCAGGCACCTAAGAGACTTTCAATAGCATTTTATAGGCTGTCCAACTTGGTTTGCTTTGTAAATTGCAAAAGCTGTCGATTATTGTTAAGTGTGCATGTTCACTGAGGTAAAGTAAAATGCTAATCAAATTGATGTCTTTAAGCAGAATTCTATGTGTTTTAAGTAGAATTCTCTGTGTCTTTAAGCAGAATTCGCTGTCCCTGTCCCTTCTTTTGATCTGTGTTGCAGATGGAACCCGATAGTATCATTCTCACCTTTGACCCCTCTTTTAAGTGTAAAAAGATGCTATCAGTTTTGTTAAGCAGATGTTGCTCAATGTTTGTGGAAAGCTTTTGTATTTTACAACCCGTTTGGCAATTGTCTAAGATGATGTCTTCTTTGGCACTCAACCTGGGGTTCTGGGAGCCCTGAACTGAACTTTGCTGAAAACCAAATAGAGTGCACCTCAGCAAACGGCCATCAGAGAAAACCAGAGACCCAGAAGAGAAACCCACACCTCCTCACAGGCAGTGACACACTTTGTGCAAGCTAAACAGCTGTGCAATAGCTAGGTGGTAACTATGTATTAAATAAGACGGTTTATGTAGATTTCAATGTGTAAATTCTCTTCCTTTTCACTCGATGTATTTGATTTGTGGAAAACTTCCACCTTGCACACTGGTCAGAATAAACAGTGTCTCCTTCCTAAACATGACTCTTTGTCCATATTTAGAGAGTTCCAAAAATTGGCAACAAAAACAGTGTATTGATTAACAGCTTAGAAACCCTTGCAGAAGAATTAATTTCTTGCAGCTGCTGCCCAAGCATTGAAAGAGAAGACAGAATCTGCTCCAGCCAAGCCATCCGGGCCTGTTGCAGAAACATTCAGGGTTATTCAGGGGGCCATGACTGAAGAGAATGTGAGAAGTACTCAGGGTGTCTTTCAGTTTGAATTGTCTGGTAAGACCATCACATGCGAAACCTTCCCTAGCAAAAGGCACTCAGTGATTTCAAAGAGAAGCACTCACCTTTTCAAGCTGATCCCTTGACACGGACCAGCTCCTCTCCCGTTCTGCTGCTGTGATGCTCCTTCTCAGGCCCTCCAGTTGGCACAGGGAGCTGCTGCCACTCCCGCTGGACGCGGAGCCTTTGTCACTTGGTGCTGCCCTCCCTCACAGGGTTGGTGTGAGAACAGACAGGGGTGCTCCCAGGGTCTCCTTGAAACACCCTGTGCCTCCAACTCTGGGAGGGAAGGGCAGGCGGCCTTCGGGCTCTCGTGCCCGTGTCCCCACATGGGCACGTGGGGCTGGGCTCGCCTGCCAGGCTTTGGCTACCTGCAGATGGGAGGGAGGGCAGAGCACCTTTGCTGCCTCCTCACCTCTCTGCATTCTCTGTCCAGGTGAGGGTGGAGGCACGTGGT